TTACTGGGTTGCATGGTAGTTTTATGTTTAACTTTTTGAGAAACTGTCAAACTGTATTCCAAAATGGCTGCCAAATTTTAATAGCACATTTCTATCAACAGTGCATGAAGGTTCCAATTTCTTCACATCCATAGACACGCTACTTTTTTGTGATAGTCATTCTAGAGGGTATGAAGTGGCTTCTCGTTATGGCTTTGACTTGGATTTCTCTAGTGACTAATAATATTGAGCACCTTGTCATGTGCTTATTAGACACTTGTATATATTACTTTTAAAAGAATCTATTACAAATTCTTTGCCCATGTTTTGATGGATTGTTGTCTTATTATTGAGTTGTAAGAGTTTTTTGTAAATTTTGGACACTAATGCTTAATTAGATTTGGGTTTTGCAAATATTTTTCGTAGTCTATTGTTTGTATTTTCATTTTCTTAATGGTATCTTTTTATTGATACATAATAATGGTACATATTTATGGGGTACATGCGATATTTTGATACATGCATACAATGTATAATGATCAAATTAGAGTAATTAGGATATTCAAATGTTTATAATTTTTTTGTGTTGGGAATATTAAAATCTAGCTATTTTGAAATTTATTATTATTATTATTATTTTGAGTCAGATCTCACTCTGTTGCCCAGGCTCCAACTCCTGAGTTCCAATAATCCTCCTGTGTCAGACTCCCAAATAGCTGGGACTACAGGCGCATGCCACCATGCCCAGTTAATTTTTTATTTTTTATAAAGACAAAGACTTGCTACGTTGCCCAGGCTGATCTCAAGCTCTTGGGCTCAAGCAATTCTTCTGATTCCTTATCCCAAAGCACTAGGATTACAGGCATGAACCAACATGCTCGGCAGAAATATACAATTACTGTTAACTATAGTTGCCCTACTGTGCTGTTGAACACTAGAACTTATTCCTTTAGTCAAACAGTATGTTTGTACTCATTAACCATCCTCTTTTCATCCCTGCTCCCACCCTTTTCAGCCTCTGGTAACCATCATTCCACTCTCTACCTCCATGAGGTCAACTTTTTTAGCTCCCACATATGAATGAGAACATGTAATATTTGTCTTTCTGTACCTGGTTTATTCACTTAATATAATGTCTCCCAGTTCCATCCAAGTTGCTGGACAGGATTTCATTCTTTTTTTATTGCTGAATAGTATTCCATTGTGTATATATTTTCTTGATCCTAAATGGTATCTTTTATAATGTAAAAGTTTTGAATTTTGATGAGGTCTATTTTATCAGTTTTTCAGAAATAAATCTTTATATTTAGAGTAAATTGATTTTTGACAAGTGTAATTCACTGATGAGAAGACAGTCTGTACAATAAGTGTTGCTGGGACAATTGGATACCCACATGCAAAAAGATGAATTTAGACACTCATTTCACACAATACACAAAAATTAACTCAAAGTGGTTCATAGACTTAGCTTCAAGAGTTAAAACAATAAAGCCTTTAGAAAAAAACCAGAAAATTTCAAGACTCTGGGTAAGGCAAAGATTTCTTTTCCGCTTATGCTTGAATTATTGTTCTGATGAAACACAATATGTGTGTATGTATGTGGCACGTATATATGATGTAGGTAGATAAAAATATATCCTCATTCAGTAAAAATGATAAAATATTTCACTGAGACTGGTAGCTAAAATTTGAATTACCAATGACATAAAAATACCAAAAGGAAATACACAAGGGATAAGTGGCAAGCCAGCAAGAAAAGAACAACCCAGAGCTTAGGGGTAGAACTCAAGACAAAGCTGCGTAAATAGTAAATTAATCTCTTCTTCAAATACTATGCAATATATGTATCCACATTTCAGGCTAAGAAATGTTGACTACAGGCAGTCACTGATGCAGATTAAGGAGAAGACAATTTCCTGTAGAAGAGTGAATCTCATTCTAGCAGCTAAGGAGATGCTGTAACCCCTAATGTTTGCAGAGATATCATAATGCTAACACAAAATTCTTACAGCCTACTATGTTCCGTGTGTTAGAAGAAATAAACATAATTCACCAATATGAAAATTTTAAATACAAAGCCTCACTTATAAAGGCACTTTCTTATAAAATTTTTTTTTAAGAGGCAGGGTTTTGCTCTGTTGTCCAGACTGGTGTGCCGTGGTGAAACCATAGTTACTCCTCAGCTCAAGTGATCTTCCCATCTCAGTCTCTCATGTAGCAAGGACTATAGGCATGAGCCACCACGCCTGACTAATTTGTATTTTATTTTATTTTTGTCTTGGGGGGTTCTTGCTATGTTGCCTAGCTGGTTTCAAACTCCTGGCCTCAATCAATCCTCCCACCTTGGTCTACAGTTGTAAGACTACAGTTGTGAGCTACAGGTGCACCTGGATTGCACCTAAAATTGTTAAGAATTAATTTCAGGGTCAAATTACCACAAGAATGCTGGTATAACACTTGGCCACTTGTGTTCATGATGAGTCAGTCACTGCCCTTCCCCTCCCTCCCTTGTCTGTGTCTCATCATGGCAGTTAGGGGAGCCCTTGCTAAAGCCTGTATCTTGATTTCCTCTCTTAGAGCAAAATTTGTTTCAAAGTGTATTTCGTGGTATCATTAAAATTGTACTACTGCTTATTAACATTTTAATACCTTTTCATTATTTTCAGATACAATTAATTATTTACTTAGCCACTTCTCCATCTTAGGAAAGGTAACATGTTTTTTTATTGTTCTTTAATTCCTTATATGAGTGGTTTTAAACTCATTGCAGTCATCAGTCAAGTACTGGAAACCTGCCTAATGAATCTGATGACGTTCTTGGAACATAATAAACCCTTGATAAGTTTTTGATGGAATGAAGTAAATCTTAACTTTTAATACCGTAGTTTTAAAATTACCTTCCATAGTCAAGGTCTAATGGCATAAAGTACACCATGGAATCGATTGAATTACTACAATAACATTGTAGAAGAGACATATAGGTTTCTCATTAATGTAATGAAGGCTAATCATTCAATGCCAAGAGCCAAACCACCAACTTTTTCTTTCTTGAATACCTAGTGACATGACATTCTTTCCTTTACTCTAAAGAGAAATGGTCTTTCTACTCAGGTCACAGCCTCTATCTAAATCTCCTGGACAGTTTAACGTTGAGACGTATTCTTTTCGTTTGAGTCGGGGTCTCACCCTGATGCCCAGGCTGGAGTACAATAGCATGATCACAGCTCACCGCAGTCTTGACCTCCTGAGCTCAGGTGATCCTTCTGCCTCAGCCTCCAGTGACCCTACAGGTACGTACCACCACACCCTGCTAATTTTTTGATTTTTTGTAGAGACAAGGTCTTGCTATGTTGCCCAGGCTGGTCTCGAACTCCCAGGCTCAAGCAATCCTCCTGCCTCCATCTTCCAAAGTGTTGGGATTACAGGTGTAAGCGAAATAACAAATGAAGACAGCCTTCTTTTCAACCTGTGGTTGAGTAGACGCTGGCAAAGCACATATGCTATGCAGTGTGTGTATCAGATGGGTAACATGGGTACTTCACAAAAACAAGTGAATGGAAAGAAAAATTCACAGACTTTTGTAATACTTTTCTTCTTGCTTAATATATAGGCTGGTTCTGAGTAATTTTCTCAAATACTATCTGCAGTGATCTTTTCAGTTACAGCCCTCCAGCCCTTCAGCTACCTGGAACTACCAAGGCCCACCTGGAAGCTTATCCTGACCTCAGGGCTTGGGCCAGTGCTCTATACTGGAGGAATTTTTAGTGGCTTATCTGCTCTGTATCTGATCAGCCATTCTGTTGATCCTGCCCTGATAGTGTAACTCAGTTTCAGGCACTAAGATTTTATCTGGCTGCTTGTGACCAAGCCCCTATTTTGTACCACTAGAAACTAAATCCTGGATTCATCTGTTGTGATCTACAATGCTACCCTGGGACCTCACATTGTATCCCAGTTGATGCACTACTCTTTATGTTCTGTGGGCTTGGTTAGACCCCTACCCAGGAACACCAATCTTCTACAATACTCATCACCTGACAGCCATTATGCTGACTTCCCTCATGTCTGGATTTCTATTTACTGTCTACTGTTAGTCTCCCCTGGAATCAGGTCCTACACTTGATCTAAACTTGTTTCTCTTTCTTTCTTTTTTCTTTTTTGAGTTGGAGTCTCACTCTCTTGGACTGACACGCTCATGGCCACTGCAGCAGCCACCTGCTGGGCTCAGGCAATCCTTCCACCTCAGCCTTTCAAGTAGCTGGAACTACAGGAACGTGCCACGATGCCTGACTAATTTTTGTGATTTGTCATAGAGATGAGGTCTCACCATGTTGCCCAGGCTAGTCCGAACCCAGGGCTCAGGCAATCCTTTCGCCTCTGCCTCCCAAAGTGCTGGGATTACAGGCATGAGCCACTGCATCCAGCTTGAGGTAAATCACCAATTATCAGTTCCTTTCTCCATTCCCTGCCTGACACTAGCAGGACTGTGGGGACTTCTGGCCATTCACAGATTAACCCATCTCAATGCTGAGTTCTAACTCTAATAGTAACTCAAGTAATACCTTTATTTTGAAACATCTCTAGTCAAATCAGCCATTTAAAATCAGTAAATTTTAAAATGCCTCACTAAGTATACATCTGCTCCTGCCCAGGTGGAAAGAGACGGCAGCACCGCGGCCCTAGGTTGGCCTCGGATAGCCAGTCCTTGCTGTCCCTGCCAGCGGGATGCCCTGTTCCCATGGCAGGGCATCCTCTGCCACGCATTGGGACTGGGATCAGGTGCAGAGAGACCCTCTACCCAGGACACAGGGCGCAGCTGGAAAGGCGGTCGCCTCCTCGCCCCTCACGCACTGCACGTTGGAACCTGGTGCTAAACCATTCATAGACGATCTGCTGCTGGGTTGGGCTTTTGTAGGTAGCAGAGCAGCTCCCTCTCTGCGATCCATTGAAAATCAGCCCTTGACACAAGGGTTTGAGAAAAAAGGTATACATCTGCTGCTTGAAGTGCCAAAGGAAAATACCTCATACCTGTCTGAGTGAATCCTGATTTGTATCCATTAGTTGTCCCATTTTCTGGGGTCACAGTTGATGACACTGAAGAGTTTGGTTTAATAGACTGGCAAGAAGCAGAGGACTGTCGGCTTCTACATTCTGGAAGGGAGTAAAAAATCATTATATGAAGAGACCAATATTTTGTCAAAGCAGGTGATGGGAACATGATCCTTAAAATCTCTAAAATAAATTGTTGCTCCTTATGTGGTAGCCACTTTCCTAATCAGAGCACTCCTTCCCCTAATTCTGACTCCAAGAGAATGTTGAAGCCAGTGAATACAGTTCTTCTTTCTAAGACCAGATGTCATACTTGGAAGGCAAGGAAATAATTACAAAGAACTTTGTTCCTACAGACTAGTGCCCAAGGGGAAAATACCCGCAACCAATACAGCCATGCTAGTTTTATGGGTAAGGCAGAGGCTAAAATATCGATAATTTATCAAAGCCCAATAAGTTGTTCAATAAACCCAGTTAACCTCCTATCCAGGATTAATTAAAGTGTGAAACAGTAACCTAGGGTCTGTCTAGGCTGCCTTCAACTTTTCCTTCTCAATCTTAATCTATGTCCAAAAACAGAAGCCAAAAAAAAAAAAGTATAGGTAGTAGATAAAAATTTTAAGAGCTCAAATGAATATTATTCTCAGTTCTTATTAAAGGAGACAAGGTAAACAATATCCAAGGTGATTACTAAGCATGCAACACCAGGCTTCTTTTTTTTAGTTTTAATTTTTTTTTTTTAGTGGGAGTCTCATTCTGTTACCCAGGCTGGAGTGCAGTGGCATGCTCACAGTCACTCCAGCATCGACCTGCTGGGCTCCGGCAATCCTTCCACCTCAGCCTTCCAAGTAGCTGGAACTATAGGTGCGTGCTACCACGCACCGCTATTTTTGTTTTTTTTTGTAGAGATGAGGTCTTGCCAAAGTTCCCAGACTAGTCTTGAACCCGCAGACTCAGGCAATCCACTTGCCTTGGCCTCTCAAAGTACTGGGATTACAGGTTGAGCCACTGAGCACGGCCCAGGCTTCTTTTTGACGCAGCTGATATTAGTGGGACTCTGGTACAACATCTTAATGGTACTATGCACTAATTCAGGTAGATAGTGAATACTATGACATCTTATAGAACTGTGACTTCCAACCAAATCATATTAGTCTCAAAAAGTAGCACGCAAAAAAGGAAATGGTTGCATATGACAAAGTTAATTACAGAGGATGCTTTAGAGAGTTTCTGAGTTTATCAGATCCATACAAGATCTAGAGGCAGTTTTCTACAATCTCTTATGCTATGACCTTCTGTGACAAGTTATTGTATTTAGGCCTGAAAGCATATTTCCACATTATATGTATATATACATATATACATATTGATATGATGTATCTGTATCTATATAATTATATATATGAATTATATAGGTATATAATTATATAAATATATATAATTCCAATTCTAAAATAGCAACTGCTGACTAGCATGGTGGCTCACACCTGTAATCCTAGCACTTTGGGAGGCTAAGGTGGGAGGATTGCTTGAGTCCAGGGGTTAAAGGCCAGCCTAGGCAATATAGTGAGACCCCGTCTTGACAACAACAACCCCCAAATCTAGAAATACCCCACAAGACAGCAGCTGCTATAAACATGAGGCTTCTTTCACAAATGTTATTATTATTATTATTATTTGAGTTGGAGTCTTACTTTGTTGCTCAAGCTGGAGTGCAATGGTACTCTCACAGCCACCCCAGCATTGACCTGCTGGGCTCAGGCAATTCTTCTGCCTCAACCTTCCAAATAGCTGGAACTACAGGCATGAGCTACCACACCCAGCCAATTTTTGATTTATTTTGGAGGTGAGGACTCACCAAGTTGCCCAGGCTGTTCTCGAACCCATGGGCTCAGGCAATCCCCTCACCTCAGTCTCCCAAAGTGCTGGGATTACAGGCTTGAGCCACTGCGCCTGGCCACAAATGATATTTTTTATTAGAAAGAAAAATTGTCATGTTATGACAATGGACAAAATTTTCAACTGCTCTTAATAGGCTAAATGAGAAAGACAAATTGTTACTAAGCACCAAACAAGAAGTTAAAAATATTTTATGCAGCCAAAACAAAAGCGAAAGAAGGAAGTTAGAAGGTAGGGAAGTTATATCTATCTTATTTTTCCCTTTGTATTAGGATTCATGACATAAAAATGATTTTTCTAGAGGAAAATTCTTTAAAAGTATAGAGTTATCTACAGTTCACCAGCTTATAATTCTGTGATTACAAGCTTTAAGTTCTAATGACACCCATTTTGGAACATGTAGCCACTTCCTAAGGGATTATGTAATGCTACTTCAAATGCAACCAAGAGAAATTAAGGGGAAGGACTTGGACAAATCCTCAGTTGTGATTTGGATTTATTATTCTGTTTCATACTCAGGAGAAAATCTTGAACAGACAACAAATATAAACACTAAAGATAGTTATCATATGGAGGAAAAAATCTCAGCATCTAAGAAACTTACCAATAGAATAAGAATTAGAAATTCCTCTGCATTAGAACAATGAATAGAAGTTGTGGAAATTCCTGTCAAACACATAAAGAGCTGGGTGAGGTGGCTCTCATCTGTATTCCCAGCACTTTGGGAGGCTGAGGCAAGAGGACTGCCTGAGTCCGGGGGTTGGAGACCAGCCGGGACAACATGGCGTGACCTCATCTCTGCAATAAATCAAAAATTAGCTGGGCGTGGTGGTGTACACAAGTAGGTCAGCTACTTGGAAGGCTGAGGTGGAAGGATCACCTGAACCCAGCAGGTCGAGGTTGTGGTGGCCGTGAGTGTGCCACTACATTCCAGCCTGCGTGACAAAGTCAGACTCCAACTCAAACAAAACAAAACAAAACAAAACACGTGAAGATGTGAAGTTTCAATTGGATTCATTTCTACAAATTAATTGGTTAAATTCTTCCTAATTTAAAAGAAACAAAGCTTTGCCATCTTAATAGTGCATTTTCCCAGATGTTATGATGAGAGCATTGTTTATTCTAAGTATGCTTAGGTCTAATTAAAATTTAAAAATACAGGTGCTTGAGAATACCAAATAAATAGAGTAAAAAAGAGCATCTCACCAAGGAACTGACATGCTGAGGTCCTCTCAAACTGATGAAAGAGTTAGGAAGAGTCCACTGCTTCCCCCTGAAAGCTGCACCCTCCTCCCAAGAGACAAATACAGAGACACGTACTTTCCTAAAGTCGAATAGTCCCTGTTAAAAATAGTAAGGAGCAAATCAAATAGCCTATCAGAGGGCTTAAAATTTGGGGTAGCCTTCTGAACTTGAGATATTTATCCCTATCACACCTGAACTCTGAACCCTATTTGGGTCAATAGTCACCATTGTAAAAATCTCCATTCCCTAGCTTTTCCCTCCTGGAAGTTGACTACCTTTCCAGCAGATAAGAGGTCCCTTCGACAGTACACCCTGGGAGCTTCTGACTAGGTAGTACTTTAAGTGCTTCTGCTTCTTTGGCTGGGTGGTGAGTTTCAAGTTAATGTGATTGGAAAATTCTGTGAAATACCGAAATCCTCTTTCTCCACAGCCGATACAGTTTCCAGAAAACCCTGAAATGAGGAAAACCAATGTTACTGATGACCTTGTAAGTTAATACAATAGTTTTACATATGAACAGCATAGAAACATTCACATTTTTTGTCCTAATAATGTCCCAATTTCAAGGAAATAATTCCAAGGGGAAAAAAAAGGCACAATTTTTTTGGCAGTTATTTTATAACAGTGAAAGCCTGGGAATAATTTAAATGCTGCTCCAAAAGGAAAGGATAATGGTCAAGGAAACAAAGTATCATATAACAGAATTTATATAGTGCACATAATATAGGAAAAAGTTTGGTTCTGGAGATGTCCATTATTTCTTCCTCACATACTCTCTGCAGCCTAGCCCTGGCTCTCTGCCCTCCCCACCCCATGAATGTGCCTCTCTGTCCACAGCTGGTGAGACTGTGGACTACTATTTGACTCAATCTGGGACAGAATTCCTCTTCTAGAATTTTGAAATAAATACAAAAAGTCAGCCAGATGGTGCCAGATCCTGAACTTGAAAGGTTTTGTAAAATTGGAGCCCAAATTGGAGCCATTTCAACCACATGTAAGCTAAGTGTGAAAGGAAAAAAACTAAGATTGTAAAGAGGAAGCTGGTTTGGGGAGAGGAGAGCAAAGCATAGGCAAGAAGTGCAAATTCAGGGTTTTGTCAACTTCTGGTTTCTGTGAGATCTAGCTATACTTTCCCATCTGAGTTCCATGAGGTTCCCCTTTCCTCTTTTCCAACACTTCTTCATTCATACTAGTGTATTAATCCTTTAGAGCTAACATCCAAACAATTCCTCACTTGCATAAATAAAACAAAACAAAAATTTCAGTGACCTTGTTGGAGCAGGGGACATGGAAAGAGGCTGGGAGAGTGAGAAGCCATGCCTTGCTTTATTGAAAATCAACTTTTCAGTTCAGAGTATAGTGGGAAACAGCCAGGGGAGGGGTGGCACACCTCATCAACAAGGGTACCTACATAATGAGCATTTGTATACCTAACCGTGAATTGTACCCCACATATTTTTAAAAAATACACAGAGTAAAATGCAGACAGTAAGAGAGTACGTTCTCTTGGTTATGTTTGATGAGGACATAACATTTACAATCATATAAGTGAACAGGACGAAAAAGTTGTAAGTAAGAAGAGGCATTCCATATTGCATAAAGATAATATCTTTACACATAAATAACTAACTGAAAATAAATTCACTGATAAAGTGATACACACCTTTCAAATCCCTAAACCGATCTGTTATGTAATTAATGAAGATATCATAAGGAGAGAAGAGAAAGGCCACAAGGATTAAAGACAGACTATCTCATAATATCCCAGTCTTATAATGCTGACAATTCAAAGCATTTATAAATGAGCAGTCCAGTTTATTATTGTTCAATCAACAATTATTTATTGAGCACCTACCTATATGCCAGACATTTTGCTAAACACTGGAGAAACAGTGATAAAGAAGAGACAGACATAACCTCTGGTCAATTCACAGAATTAACATTTTATAACTGCTACTTCATATAAATGTAAACATTAATATAATCTTATAAATGACTTAAATGTATTCAAAGATGGATTGTATTTGATTATCTGTCCAATATCTTAAAGCTGTAGCCCAAACCAAAGGTTGTCAATGGCTGCATAGTCCACTGAGTTCCTAGTTGTCCACCCACCCA